TATATATATGTTTTTATTTTGAAATAATATGTATTTAGTATGTTTGATGAAGATGAAGGTGCTATTCAAAACACTTACAATTTTCATTTGTTTTTACTAAATTTCAAAAAAAAAAAAGAAAAAAAAGTCAAATTGGTTGTAATTATGAAAAGCTAATCTCCTAATCCATCGCCTTCACTTCGCTTTGGCAAGCACGAAATAATTGAAGTTCATAATTTAATAATAGAGTTGACCAGCAGAGTTTCTGTGGGGGCCTATAAACAAATGCTGTATTAGAATTTATAATTTATAATAGGCCCATTTACATGTATTCCACCAATTCAAATTCCTATGCATTTTACTTATATAACCAACGGCAAGACAAAAAACGCAGCTGTGGTGGGAAAAGGGTTTATCGGGCGTGACCTGACCGTAGAGAACTCCGCCGGCCCCATCAAACACCAGGCCGTAGCCCTCCGCATCGGCGCCGATCTGTCGGCCTTCTACCGGTGCAGCTTCGTGGGGTATCAAGACACCCTCTACGTCCACTCCCTCCGCCAGTTCTTCTGCGATTGCGACATCTACGGCACCGTCGATTTCATCTTCGGCAACGCCGCCGTCGTCTTCCAGAACTGCAGTCTCTACGCCCGGAAGCCCAATCCCAATCAGAAAAACATATTCACCGCGCAGGGCCGAGAAGACCCCAATCAGAACACCGGCATTTCGATCCACGACTGCAAGCTGTCCGCCGCCTCGGATCTCCTCCCCGTTGTCTCCCAGTTCAAAAATTACCTCGGCCGGCCGTGGAAGGCATACTCGAGAACCGTTTACCTGCACTCTTTTCTGGACAGCCTGATTGATCCGGCGGGGTGGTTGGAGTGGAACGGCACTTTTGCATTGGATACTCTGTATTATGGGGAGTACAGGAACAGAGGCCCCGGAGCGAATACGACGGGGAGGGTGAGGTGGCCGGGTTATAGAGTCATTAATTCTTCGGCGGAGGCTGATAACTTCACGGTGGCCAATTTTATCGACGGAGATCAGTGGTTGGCTTCTTATAATTTGCCCTTCACCCCCGGCTTAAACTAATTATTATTTACTACACCTACCTTCTTCTCTTAGTTTTATCTTCCTATAATATTTTCATATTGCATCCCCTGCCTATTTTTAATTAACTTTAGGAACTTTGAGATTGCCTATGCTTTTTGTGCCCTTCTTTCTTGTTCATCATGAAATTTTAACATGGAGTGCTTATTGTTGTAGATTATATTATAATCTTTTCATGGGGATTAAACTTTTATTTAGCTATCTTCACTTATTTATCGTATTGCATTTATATGAAACAGGTTGTTGAATGACATACTTATCCATTAAAGTGCCAAAATATTACTCACTATCGTTTTAGTTACATCAAAACAATTTCTCATTACTTTAAAATTGTGATCCAATAGTCTGTATTTAAAACTATTTCAACCTCAGTTTAAAAAGTTTGAGAACTATTCTAATACTTTTATAAACTCTGAAACTATAATGATCTTATGTAAATGGTCATGGACTATTTTGATAGTTTACTTTATAATTTTCTTATGTTGTAGTTATGGGCGGCAAATTACTAAATATTTCTTCCAGATATAGCAGAGAAAAGTATAGGTGAATTCAATCAAGTTGAGTTGTGTATTATTTTTATTTTTGGTGGGGAAAGCATTATGTTGATCTAATTTATTCACTTATTGTTTTTTTTTTAATTATTATTAAGTTTGTTATTTGTCAGATAATCATTGAGTATGTTTCATGTGCTCGAACATGCATCAAATTAGCCCCACCCTACCTCACCCCCAAAAGTAAAGGGATCATGTTTGAATCATTGAGCTAACATCAATTTCTTTATTTATATTTCAAGTTTTTAAGAAAATAATTATGTAAATGAATTACTATAAATATTGTAATTGTTTAAATGAGAGGCACGAGCTTATTACATGTATAAATATTGACTTATTCTAATCCTTCTATGTTCATTTTATGTTTTTTTGGAGGATTTTAGTGATGTGTTTGTATGACCAAGGGAAGGTGATTCAATGCAGCTCAAAAAATCTCAAAAAATAGTGCTCTAAGTATTTGAGTAGCGCCTAGGTGCAATGTCTGGGCGTCCAGGCGACCAAGGATGCTTAAGTCCAACAATTTTCGTCCTCTAGATAGAGCGAATAGAAAGTAGGTGATGAGAGTATATTAAGCATGTGATAATGACCCAACACAAGGACTGGGTTCTTAAGCCCTCGAAGAAAACATAAATCGTCCAGGATACATAGTGATTGGAAAGTAGGCACTGCGATAATGACGCTTAGGCACTAGAAACTTGGCAGCTAGGCACTGCCTTTGGGTGCCTAGGCATTCAATGCCACTCAGCCTTTGTCCAAATACAAAGCAAATGGAAAGTAGGTGTCACGACTGCAGTGAATAGGCGTCGTGACTACAACGAGCAGGCATCGCGAGTGAAGCGATTTGGCGCCGTGACTGCAGCGCATAGGCAACATTTTGACGTGACATTTCATTAGGGAAACTGTAGAGGTTGCTCGGCCCAATGATTAGAGGATTCTTTTGGCCTGTTATAAGCGTGAAGAACTTGTGGATAATTCAGGGAAGAACTTCAAAGTCTTACTTAGGGAAGTGAGGAGAGTGATTGGGAGATTGAGAGTGTGTAAAACTGGTTGCTTGTGTATCGCATCCTATTCTAAGAAGGAAAGAGATAAGCATTTGAAGTTGTTTTTAATTGGATTTAATCTCTAGAATTTTGTGTAAGATTTCACTTTCTAATTTAATGATTGTGTTGATGTGTTCTAGCATGTGTAGAGAGTATATCTTCATTTCTCCTTTGTTGTGGATGCGTAGAAAAGGTAGGTTTGCATAATTGATGTGATTCATGTTGAAACTTGCAATTAGTGTTTTGTTAACTTTGGATTCTTAATTTTCTTTTAACTAGATCAGCTAAAACGTTAAAACCAATCGTGAACATAGAAACTCAGAAGAGATCTTAGTGGGATGATTGAGTTAACGACATAAATTTATTGAAAAAAGGATATTGTCTCTCAATTTATGAAAGTAGATAGTGAGCTTCAAAATTCCAGGCTTTTCATTAGATTTAGAGAACTAAACTAGTGCAATAACCAAACTTCCTCAGACTACCAGAAGGATATAAGATTTTTTTCTTGTTTAACACTTACAGTGGGATCACTATGTTTAAGCCTAAATTCCTACATAATCTCTTCAAAAGAGAGTTAGTTAACACTTGAAACACCAAATCTTTTCTTTCTCACATAGTTAGCTTAGGTGTTGATCATTTTTAAAAATTAAGGCAGAAACTTTTACTAAAAACTAAATCACAAACTTTCAAGTTAGATTTATAATCAATAGGCTAAAACCTTTCTTATCTTGGAATTTTGCTCGCTCCCTGTGGGATCGATACACATAAACCAATTTCATATTTTATTTATACGACATGTTTATTTGTGTGATTCGCTAGTCCATAGCTGCACTTGGTTCGTATCACACATTTTCACACACACACACACACACTCACTCACACACCCTACGTCTCTACATATCAAACACCTTAATTTTGTTTTTAACATATATACTACATAAATCAGTAGTACCATAAAAAAAAGTATCATATTTACATTTTTTCATTTTTTTTTTCTTTTTTGAGAAAATGAAGATCATTCGTAGCTTTATTACTGAAAAACAGAATATATAACTCAGCCCAATGATATACAAACCAAAACCAAAATACACATCAAATATCTTCATCAAAAAACAACAAGAAAATACAAAATAAAAAAAAACAACGCTAGAAACTACCATCACAAGTAAAGACAATCCAAAAAAGCATAATTTTTTGTTCTTTTTAATTAAACATTAGAGACGTTAGCTTGTCTATTTATATATATATATCGCCGTATGATTTCTCTTTTCAAAGTAAATATGTTTGATGGTCCAGATAAGAAATGAATCAGAATGATGTGCATATATATGATTAAAAATAGACAAACACATTAAAAAGAAACTTTAAAAGCTTATATAAAGTAATACGTGTGTGATAGATCGAGAATATACGTCTAAAACATAATCAGATCAAAATGCCTCGAAATACAATATTCACTAAGAGAACCCCTACATAAGCAACACTTAACCAGATAATAAAAAAAAACATTTTTTTATGGGGTCAAGAGCAACACCCAAAGAGATATATCCCTTTGGTTAATTAAATATTGAGTGATACTGAATAATATTCTCAAAAATAGAGGTCATGCTTATATTCAAGTGACAACCAACAAAAATGTATGTCACGAAGGATTGTTATTCGATCGGAACATCTCAATGTTATCAAAGCCCACACAAATTCATAGGAGTAGAGTGTGAGTCTCTCACATCCCAAATAAGTGGCGACTTTTCGTCAAATGAGGCCCATGAAATAATCGGGTCGTCTCAATAGGGTGCACACTATGCTTCAATGCCTAACCATGCCCTTAATCAGGACCTATGAGATGACATCAACGAAGTGTCAAAGGAACATAAAGAGCCCAAAAGGAGTATACTAAAAGGTAAGGAAAGGAAGTATTAATCAGGTAGAGGCAGTCGGGTCATATTCCATGAAATCGCCATCCTAAGCTACTATGACCAGAAGTCTACATAGTCGTAGAGGCAGTTGACCCAACTCGACCCGAAATTCCTTCTCAACAACCAATGTATTGCATCATCTATGGAGACCTTGGTAGCCTTAAGGTCAAAATAAAAAAATCACATCTTACGATCAACTAAATGGTGGTATATTATGTTGGTATTGGGGAGGTATTTTGGTGATATTAAAGTGGTATTGTGGTGGTCTTTTTGTCGTATTATGATAATATTGTGGTCATATTATGATGATATTTAATGGTATTGTGATGCAAATATTGTGTGTTTTCTCACAAATGAATTATGCCTTCCTGCTCCTCCAATGTATGAAATGAATGAAAGCTTATAATACCAAAATTTTCACTTCCCATCTTCAAAATTGCACCATTGTCGTGCTCTTCAGAAATCACAGAGTTATCACTTCAATTTATCTTGATAATCGCAAGAAAAATCTTAATAAGAAATCGTAAGTGAAACCTAAAACTTAAAAATGGAAATGAAACATGTGCGGGATTTTGAACGGTGCTCCATTTTTACTTCCAATTATTAGACAGGTTTTGGGTTGGGTCACGCCAAAATTCTAATTTTTTCCCATTTTTTATTGTTGCAAAATATAGGACCTGCAGCTGTACAATCTTATTAGAGTCCGGATGCAAAACCGTGACAAGATTCTGAACGCAGTATTTTCTTCTGAACATCCAGCGTAATGATCCCGCCAGCCACCAAGAAAAGGAACAATGTTTGATTATAGATATTGATGATTCATCAAATGTTTTATTTATATTTCAAGTTAAAAAACAATTATCTAAATGAATTAGTATAATTGAGAGGCACAGACACATTTACATAGACACCATTCCAACAGCATAATTTTATTTTTAATATTTATACTGTCAAAATCTTTAAGTAAATTAAGCTCAGGCCCAAATTAAGGATAGGCCGAACTCAGCTCGACTCGTTGATATACTTAGGGCTCATTTGGGGCAGCTTATAAGTGCGGGGGCATTTTTGAAAACGTCGCGGTACCGTTTGGATGTCACATTTTGCTCGCTTATGTGAAAATACGGTTTAATTTTTATACTAAACATAGACCGCGGGTCAAACCGAATAGACCGCGTTTCAGGATAAGCTATTTCTTCTGAAACGCAGAAGTTGTCCCAAACGCACCCTTAGCCACCGATCCAACGTTTTTCTTTCAATTGAATTGAAATTTATGAGAGTTAAGAAACCAATTTAGAAACCCTTCTATCTTGCATCTTATATGTGGACAACATGGTCATTTCAACACATACTTATTTTCTTATTACAATAATAAACCTATTATGAAAATTTCCAACCATTATTTATGAATTTCGCTCCATGAAATATAGACCTTCAAATAAAAAAATAAAAAAAAAAAAAAGAGGTAAAAACCACACAAATTTCTCTAATCGAAATCCCAAGCCATAAAAAGAGGCTAAATTATTCCAAATCTTTTGAAAATACTTGATATTTGACTCAAATCTATCCCAATTTTAGCTCTTAGGGCATTGTTGGGCTTTGGGTTTCATTTGGACTTCCTTCTTAATCTTTCCTCATTCCTTTAAGGCCGGGCTTTCAAAAATCAGGACTTGCTCAACTCTATCCATGCGGA